CCTCCCTCACCCATTGAGAAGGCAAGAAACAGAGTATGAATTATACATGTGAAATCATGCAAAACATATTTTATGTTAGGCATGTTACAAAAAAAATAAGAAAAGTAAAGTGAAAAAAATTATGTTTCAATCTGCATTCAGGCTCTATCAGTTGTTTCTCTGGAGGTAGATAGCATTTTTCATCATGCGTCCCTCAGAATTGTCTTGGATCATTACCTTTTTTTTTTTTTTTAGACAATTGGGGTTAAGTGACTTGCCCAGGGTCACACAGCTAGTAAGTGTCAAGTGTTTGTTCTGAGGCTGGATTTGAACTCAGGTCCTCCTGACTTCAGGGCCAGTGCTTTATCCACTGTGCCACCTAGCTGCCCCTGGATCATTGTCTTGATCAGAATAGCTAAGTCATTCACAGTTGATCATCCTTACACTATTGCTGTTATATATACAATGTTTTCCTGGTTTTGCTAACTTCACTTTGCATTAGTTCATATAAGTCTTCCCAGGTTTTTCTGAAACTATCTGCTCATCATTTCTTATAGCACAATAGTGTTCTATCACAATCATATACCACAACTTGTTCAGCTATTTCCCAATCAATGGGCATCCCTTCAATTTCTAATTCTTTGCCACTACAAAAGAGCTGCTATAAGTATTTTTGTATATATAGGTCCTTTTCCCTATGGATCTCTTTGAGATACAGACCTAGCAATGATATTGCTGGGTCAAAATGGTATGCACAGTTTTGTAGCCCTTTGGGCATAGTTCCAAATTGCTCTTCAGAATGGTGAGGTCAATTCACAACTCCACCAACAAATGCATTGGTATCCCAATTTTTTGACGTCTCCTCCAGCATTTGTCATTTTCCTTTCATCGTGTTAGCCAATCTGATAGGTGTGAGGTGGTATCTTAGAGTTGTTTTAATTCATATTTCTCTAATCAATAGCGATTTAGAGAATTTTTCTATGTGACTACTGATGACTTTGATATCTTCTTCTGAAAACTTACTGTTCATATCCTTTGACTATTATCAACTGGGGAATAGCTCTTATTTCTAAAAATTTGGTTCAGTTCTCTATATATTTGAGAAATGAGACCTTTATCAGAGAAATTTGCTGTAAATTTTCCTCCCCAGTTTCCTGCTTTCCTTCTAATCATGGCTACATTGGCTTTGTTTGTGTAAAACATTTTAATTTATGTTCATTTTACTTCCCTCAATCCTCTCTATCTCTTGTTTGGTCAATATTGAATAGTAGTGATGATAATGGACATCCTTACTGTACCCCAGTTCTTATTGGGAAGGCTTCTAGCTTATCCCTATTATAGATAATGCTTGCTGGTGGTTTTAGATAAATGCTACTCATCATTTTAAAGGAAAACTCCATTTATTCCTGTATTTTCTTCCTCCCTCCCTCCCTCCTCTCCCTCTGTCCACATAGGGAATCATACTTTTTACCTGCAGGTGCTCTGCCTAAAAGAATATAAATTTTGATCACTGAAACATTGCAAAATATCTTGGGGTTTATGGGCTAGATTTCTTTCTTAAGGACCATGCCTTAAACTCACTCTGGGTAAATTGTGTTAATTGGCTCCAGCTCAATTGAAATATGTAGTGTGAAATCAAATAATATGACCAGTTTGAAAGAGGAGGCCAGATTCATTATTCACATTAATTGGAACCTAGCTATAAATACTAGTTGGTTTATTTTTCAAATAAAGTAGATTAGAATCATTAATACACAAATACTTAAATAGGTCTGTGATCTATTTGGATGGAACCATCTGATGATCCTGGTCACAGTCCGTTCATACTCATCTATCCTGTGCAACTCTTGTCCATATGTTTACCCTAGAGAGGCTTTACAACTGAAAGCCTTCCTCTTTCTCCCAACACTCTGAGGGTCCCAGTAGAGTACTCAGGCTGTCCAGCTGTTTTCCTTTCTCCATATCATACATTTCCTTGATGATAATTTTTACTTCTCTTTTTCTTAGAAGTTTCTCATTACTTATGCATTAGAGCCTGCTCACACCCACCATCTACCTCTCCATTACCTAATGTGTGATGTTAATTGTTATCTCTTCATTTCATTGCCATAGTAGAATGGTAGTATTGAAAAGATTGACCTTTGTTTCTAGGAGAAGCATAGGGGTCATTAAAAGAATTTCGCAACCTCAAATACATAATAGTGTACATGGATGAACTAACACTATACTAAGAATTATTGCATTATGTTTTTACGTAAAACCACGTAAGGCAAACAATACTTGGAAAATGAACTGAGTACTCTGGCACATTATATCATGTACCAACTGCATGGGCATATTCTTATTTATGTGCTGCATGCCTGACTTGAAAGAATGAATTTAAGAGGCCAAATATACTAGCTAAACTCCTTCACTAAAATTAATTACAAATGATTCATTACTGATACTTAGTAATTTTTAATTAGTGCTGTCAAGGTAATTCAACCTACAAAGAATTGATCATAAAGAACTGGAAACCAAGAGGGTATCCATCAGTTAAGGAATGGCTGAAACAAATTACAGCATAGAATGTAATGGAATATTATTGCACCATAAGAAATGATGGAAGGGCTGTTTTCAGAGACTTGTGTGAAGCGATACAGAGTGAAGAGAACAAAACCAGAACAGTTCATGCCATTAAAAACAACATCGAAAAGAAAAATAACTTTGAAAGACTTAAGAACTCTGGATCAAATCACAGTTCTAGAAAAAATGGATGATGATAGTCAGCTCCCCTACCTGACTGACAGAGAAGTATTAGTACAGAATGAAACATGCATTTTCAGACAGGGACAGTATGGGGATGTTTTGTTTGACTATGCATATGTTACAGGAGTTTTCTTTTTCTTTTTCTTTTTCTTTTCCAATGCAGATAGATAGGAAGAAAAGGGGGGCTAGCACTTGGACTGCCAAAAAAAAAAGAGTGAGAGGGAGGAAGAAAGAAAGGAAAGAAGGAAGGAATGAACAAAGAAAGGAAAAGTCATTAAAGCATTTTTTAAAAAATACACAGAGAATAAAAAGGCCATAAGAAAACACAGACAAGCAGAACAACTGAAAGTTATGTTTAATTTATCATATAGTTAAAAGAAAAAGCAAACTACATGTAATATAGATTTATAATTTCATGTGCAGTCTTCTTTTTCTGTTCTACTTCATACATGGAAATATTCATTGGTGCTCATTAAGTTCAGAATTTTTAAATATAAGATTTAGAAAAAGAGAACTGCTCATAATGATAGTATTAGAAGGAAAGAAAAAGAGGATTTCCCCAGGCTTTTGTAAAATGTGTGCTCCACCCATCATTTGGATCCTCTGTCGTGTGTAGGAATCAATGTTGACTTTAATTTGATAAGTGATGGTGCTTGGTTCTCTGAACATAGAAAGACAGGTGCTATTAGATTGATTACATGTAAAAATGCTGTGCTCCAAAGTCAAATACAATGATTTTCTCTGAGAGAATAGAGTCTGTTTACAAGGGGAAAATTCCAGCTCTGATTTCAACCTCTTGGTGTACTTAGTTCTTAGACATCTAAGAGATTTGTCGTCTTTTCCCTCACCCTTTGTCTATACCTCCCCGCCCAAAAAATGCCTTGTAGTCTGTGTTGCCAGAGATGTGAGGACATTCTCTTTTAAGCCTGTTGCTGTGAGAAACACATGCTGTATTGGGACAGGACTGGCCCTGTCAGTAGGTGAAATTGGCAGCCATCTCCATAGTGTTATTTTTAGAAGTGATGGTGGCCCACTTAAGAGGAAGAGTGGTTTAATAGACATAGTGCTGGATGTGGAACCAGGAAGACCTAAGTTCAAATTTTGCCTCGGGCAATAATTACTTGTCTAAGGACAAATAGTTACATCCCTCTGAGCTTCAAGTTCCTGTAATATCTATAAGACCTAACCTTATGCTAAGGTTGTTGTAAAGCTCAAATTAGATATATATTAAGTTTCAGAACCACTGATTTAGATGTATAACCACTGATTTAAGTATGTAACCAGTAATTTAGATGGATTTAGATGGAGGGAACAGAGTGGATTGTTATATATCTATATCTATTCATCTATCTATCTACCTACTTACCTATCTATCTATCTATCTACCTACCTACCTACCTATATCTAGCACCTTGCTAACTTCAAAGCTCTTTATAGGAAAGCCATTTTAAATAAGATTATTATTCATAAATTCCTCCAAAATGGCTGCCATGGTGCCTTGAATTTCCATCATTATCATCTCTCCTTTTAGAGTTAAAGGAGTCATGATTTCAATGTTACTGTGCTTATCTGTGTACAGTCTGCAGAATGCCCTATTCAAAGAGCAATATGTTGTTTATTGTTCAGTTCAGTCATGTCCGACTTTTCGTGACCCCATGGAAAAAAGCACTCCAGGCTCTTCTATCCTCCACCGTCTCTCAAAACCTGTCCAAGTTCATGCTTGTCATTTCCATAATACTATCTATTCATCTCATCCTCTGCTGTCCCCTTCTCCTTTTGCCTTCGATCTTTCCAAACATCAGGGTCTTTTCCAATGAGTCTCATCTTCTCATTATGTGGCCAAAGTAGGTAAGCCTCCAGCATTTTACCTTCCAATGAATAGCTTGAATTAATTTCTTATTGACCGATTTGACCTCCTTGCTGTTCAATGGACTCTCAAAAGACTTCTCCAGCACCACAATTTGAAAATGTTGATTATGTGGCATTCAGCTTTCCTCATAGTCCAACTCTCCCAGCCATACATTGCTATTGGAAAAACCATAGCTTTGATTATGTGGACCTCTGTCAGCAAGATGATGTTTTTGCTTTTTAGCTTACTGTCCAGATATGCCATAGCTTTCCTTCCAAGGAACAAACATCTTTTAATTTCACTGCTGCAATTGCTATCTGTAGTGATCTTTGAGTTTCCATTTCTTCTTCCACTATTTGCCAGGAAGTGATGGGACCAGTTGCCAATATCTTAGTTTTTTTTAATTTTAAGCTTCAAGCCATCTTTTACACTCTCCTCTTTCACCCTCATCAAGAAGCTTCTTAACACCTCTTCTCTTTTTTGCCATTAGAGAAGTATCATCTGCACATCTGAGATTGTTGATATTTCTCCTGGCAACATTAATTCCAGTTTTTGATTCACAATATACAGTTTTGTCATACTCCTTTACCAGTCTTAAACCAGTTATTCCATGTTTGGTTCTAACTCTTGCTTTTTGGTCCACATACAGGTTCCTCAGGAGACAAGTAAGATGATCCAGTACTCCCATCTCTTTGAGGACTTGTCACATTTTGCTGTGATAGTGCAGTCAATGAAGCAGAAATAGATGTTTTTCTTGAACTCATTTGCTTTCTCCATAATCCAGTGAATGTTGCCAATTTGGTCTCAGCATATTAATAAATTATAATTCATTACCATATTAGAAGAGGTCCAATATATAGTATTATGTTCCTCTGGTTTAATAGGTAGTATCAAAGAAGAAGTTTATCAGGTTGCCTAGGAAAAGAACCCGGGACAAATAAATTATAATGGAAGATAATAATAACTGACTTGTACATTCAGTAGCGGGCAGGTAGGTGGTACAGTGGATAGAGTGCTGGGCTTGGAGTGAGGAAGGATTCATCTTTCTGAGTTCAAATCTGGTCTCAGACCCTTATTAGCTCAGACCCTAGGTAAGTCACCTAGTGTCACAAGTTATCCCTGTTTGCCTCAGTTTCCCCATCTATAAAATGAGCTGGAGAAGGAAATGTCAAATCACTCCAGTATCTTTTCCAGCAAAACCCCAAATGGAGTCACAAAGAGTCTGACATGACTGAAACAACCGAACAACAAAAATATTCAGTAGCACTTGCAACTTGTCAAAGTGCTTGCCATATATTGTCTCATTTGGCCCTCACAACAATCCTAGGCTGTAGATTCTATTGGTATTATCATTCCCATTTTATGGAGTAGGAGCTGAAGCTTAAAAACGTTAAATGACTTGCCCATGATTACATAGCATGAAAGGCAAGATTTGAACCCAGATCTTCCTGATTTCAAGTCCGGCACATTAGCCATATACTATATAGGGAGAGGGAAAGTTTTGAGCAAGAGTTCTTAATCTGGAATCTGCAAATAATTTCAGGATTGGATGGGGGGAAATGATATCTTTTGTCACAATAGAAATTAAGCTAAACTGAGGCAATAAAGTTCCAGAAATGTTCCCCTTATTAGCAAGCCAGAACGTGCTAATTAAAGGGGTCAATAGGTCTTCAGTAGCCAAAGACCCTGAGTTAGGGACCATTGGATCTTTTATAGTGATTAATAAGATGGCAGAGCAAAATCAACAACATAGGTGTTTCTTCTCCATTGGCTAGATGTTTCAATAAAGAGCAGGGGATAAGTGTCATCTCAGCTCTGCCCCATTACATCATTGAGAGTTGAGATCAGTTCTCAGCAGATAGAAATAGTCCTGAGGTGATGGGATTAGTCTTTAGGCTTTGGAGTTGTTACAAAAGTTTAGACTGATGAAATTGACCTTTGGGCAAGTTTCTCCAGAATGTGGGTGGTGAGTGAAGTTATGAGGCACAGATGGCAGCTAGGTTGGTGGGTGGCTCAGTGGAGAGAGCCTGGGGCCTGGAGGGAGGAAAACCTGAGTTCAAATCCAGCCTCAGAAGCTTACCCTGTGACACCCTGGGTAAGTCACAATCCCTATTGATTTCCAAAAAAATGTAGCATTTCCTTCAATTATTTAAAAACAGTATTCCATTCATAGACTTCAATGGATTGCTGAAGGGGTCCATGACACAAAAATCATTAAGTATCCCTTGTTTGGAGAGTAGAAACATATCAAGTGAGAATGCCAGTGTGAAGAGTCCAACTGAAGATTAAGAAAGAAAGAAGAAACAATGGTTTTGAGAGAAATAAACTTTATAACAGTTAAGTAACAATGTATTTCCACTTTTGGCTTGGTGTTTTCCTAGTCCTTATAAGGGATAATTCAGTGGGTGAAAACATATTAGAGAGTGGTCTGGGTTTGCATTGGACAAAAGAAATTAGAACTGAAATATGGTTTGCTAAAAGTGTTTAAACATACTTTTATAGGAAATGAATGATTGATTTTAATAGCATAACAGTGTACTTGTTGAAGCCATTAAAAAAATTTAAATGCCTATCTATATTTTTGACCTACTAGACTATAATATGAACTATTGTAAGATACGCAAATTAAACACAGATCCTTTAAGATCAACAGTTACTACCAGAAATAATTCCAAATATTTCATATAAGAGAATATTGTGATGAAAGTCTACTTCATTAGCATGGATCCAAGGTACAATAGTATACATGGATCCCCTAAGGGGGTCCAACCCACTTTTCAGAAATGTGGACCCAGTATTCTACTTACTCCTCCTAGGCAAGATATAGTGAACACCATTTATCATTTGACAAACAGAGAAGCAGCAGGGTGTAGTGTGGATGGTGGGGGGGGAGTCTTGTAGTCTGAAAAAAACTGGGTTCAAGTTCTGCCTGTAGATACATATTGTCTGGGTGACCGTAGTTAAGTGACTTAACCTCTCAGTGTCCTAGCAACTTTCTAAGACTAACTTGCCAAGTTAGTTGCTTCATACCGCAAGACATTCCCATGGTAAGTGTTTCCTACACCCATAAAATCACAGGTCTGGACCAAAAAGAAAACAAACCCTGCAAAATTGGACAAATATCTAATAAGCACATTGTACTGGAAGCCCATGATTATATTCTATAAGTAATAGTTCAATCAATAGACATTTATTAAGCACCTACTATGTGCCAGGCACTATGCTAAATGCACAAACAAAAGACAGCCCCTGCCCTCAGAATATACAATCTAATATTAAAAAAAAATTATACATAACCTACTGTATGTTAAAACAATATAACACATAGTAATAGTATCCTCATTTTACAGATGAGGAAACCCAGGCTTAAAGAGATTAAGTGACTTAGGCAGCTAGTGTCTGAGGCAGGATTTGGACCCAGGTCTTTGCAAAGTCAAATTAACTCTCACTGATTCATAGTGAAATTTCTGAAGTATAAATATTGACACTGAAAATTTAATAATCAGCTCTCAAAAGCTAGTTAGAGCTGGCTCCAGCATGCTCCTACACATAAGGCAATGGAGAGACAATGGTGGGTGTAAGCAGTCTGCAACATGTAATTAATGAGCAGCTCCGAAGAACAGGAGTAAAAGATGTCATCAGGGAAAATGTAAGATTGGAAGACCCAGATGGCCTAGTCATATGGTGAGGAATGTCCACTGGAGAGCTGGAATGCTCTGTTGATAGCCTCCTAATGTCAGGGGAAGAAAAGGAACAACTCCAGGAAGATGGGTGGACGCTGTATGGGGACCTGGGTGAGAAAATACGGAGAAATATTGCATAGGGAGAGCAGGCATGGATAAGCTGAGATCTGTGTCATTGGAAGGAACAGAGAAATTTCTGAGATCACAGATTCATTTGAATGTCTGAGTGCTGAGTGTCATTGCTATCATTATTCATAAGTATCCACCATGGACAAAGCACTGTGTTGGGCCCCAAGGGAGATACAAAGATTTCATTCCCTCAGTTCTGTGTCCTTAGTGACCTACTCCAAGTCTGATCCACATAAATGACAAGGTTTTCCTGTCCTTTTGTGAGGAATCAGTGATTCCATAGCATCTCACCATTTCTAACTCTTGGCCAATTAATAAGCTTCAAGTAATGACTATATTTTTTATTAACCATTACCATCTGTTCACTTGACAGAAGAAGCCTCTGGTTTATTGGTAAACTATGAGCCTGTATTTTTAAAATGTGTGCTCAATATTTATACGTGTAATACAGAAAGTGATTTTTTTTCATGATTAGCAAGAACGACATATTTTAATACCATGAGCACTGTTACTTTGTCTTTTTTGTGGACTTTTGTCTTTTTTGTGGACTTCCCCTCTACCAATACAGATTGCATCCTCTCTATAACACAGCAGGCAGTCTTACTGAATTGCAATGACCCAAGAAATTGATCAGCCTGCAGCCAGCCAGCCTTCAGCCTCCAGGTAGCCAGCCTGCTACAATCTAACAGAGTGTGGGTTCTTCTGACATACTCTCTGAGAACCCAGGGTTACCTCCATGGTACTGTGAGGCATCGGAATAGAATTCTAATAAATTAAATCTGTCAATAAGCATTTATTAAGCATTACTATGTGCCTGACACTGTGTTAAGCACTGAGAGGGTACCAGGATAGGAAAATACATGATCCCTGCCTTCAAGATCCTCCTTCTAATAGAGGAGAAAACATGGAAATAACTACATACATAGAAGATATATTAGAGGCAAAAAAAATAAAGATATATTAGAGGCAAAAAAATATATAATTTGTGCTCTGAATAGAAACTGTTCTGTTTCCATGGTGGCAGGAGCGCTAAACTAAAATGTACTAACAGTGTGACTTTGGGCAAATTGCTTCATTTATCTGGGTCTCAACTTCTCCCTTAAAATGAGAGGGTTGGGTTCTAAGATCCTTCAAGGCTCTATAGCCTATGACTTTGCATAGAAATCTGTAGGCTTGGAGTCTTTTACAGATCTGCATCTGACTCCCTGTACGCTCTTGGGCAATACTTAAACTCTTATGGGCCTCAATTTCCTCATGTCTAAAAGGAGGGCATTAGGCTAGATAATTCTTAAAGTCTCTTCCAACTTTAACATTCTGTAGCTATTATTACCTTTCCCTCCCCAAAGACAGTAAAGCTAGGGAGAGGTGTCCAGGGTGAATAATAATAACAGTATTTCATATTTGCATTCACTTTATAGTTTTCAAAGGGCTTTCAGGTAATTACTTTATTTGATCCTCACTACTCCGTGAGGTAATGCAGGACAGCTATTATATTTCACGGGTGAAGAAATTGAAGCACAAAGTAGTTGACACATGCCCAAAGTCAGACAGCTAGTAGTAAGTGGAACAGCTGGGACTGTGTCCCATCTTTTCTGACTCCAAGTCCAATGATATTTCCACTGTACCATTCTAGCTGGGAGGAAATATGTTGAAATCTCAATAACCCATGATTTCCTCCATTGTGAGAATTCCCTATACAACTCCCTTTAACTCATAGCCTTAGAGACTTGCCTAAAACTCAGAGAAATTAAATAACTTACCTATGACCATACAGCAACAGGTACCAGAGGGGAGGTTTGATCCCAAGTGTTCCTGACTCCAGGTCCCGTTGTCTCTCCATTCTACCAAGCTGCCTTTCATTGGAAGAAATTATGTAATAAAATTAAACTTCTCCAAAGAACTACAATACTATTCTTGAAAGTTTCCTGTCATTTAATGGGAATATCCAAGTCATTACACTTTTCTATCTCATTCAATCTTGTTTAGGTGTGAGTACTTGATCAGCTGGGATAAATCAAATATATACCTAAGTTATATCTTATTGTAGAATTGATAGTGATCAAATGTAAGGAAGTTAGTTGTAGAAGTCTTATCAATTTAATATATTCCCCAGTCAATTTGATGAGATTGTGGGGTAGAGATCTTTGTGTTGAGGCATCCAAAAGGTACCTTCTCATGGGATGTGAGCATACCAACTGGTGCCTCACTGAGAGGCTGAAAATTGAAAACAATTCGCTTTTGAAAGCTTGACATGTACTAGCTGTGTGAGCCCATTGGGCAAGTCACTTAACCCTGATTGCCTCACCAAAAAACAAAACAAACAAAAAAAAAAAAGACAAAAGTCAAAACAACTGGTGATGGCTGGATGACCTTGGTGTCTTTGATGTCTGACCAAGCTCTAATCTTTTCCATAGTGCCTGTTTCAACAGCCTTCATGGCTATTGGAACAAATTGTTTTCATCTACCCATTCCACCAGGGGAATTCACATACTTGGGTAGACAGCCCCCTAACTCACCAATGGGTTTGAGGCCTATTGGTTATCTTCAACCTGGTTTAGCTCACCAGCCAAGATGGTTTTACTGGTGTGTGGCTGCTACACATGCTACAACTTCTTGGAACCACAGAGAGAGTTAGGTGATAGGTGGCCACTGAAGGTAGATGAACAGGCCCAAAAACCTCACACCAGAGGTGCTAGTCCTCCCTGAACACCCCACACATCTCAGCAGTTAATATAGTGTCTGGCACAGAGTTGTTAGATGAATATAAGGCATTTATTAAGCACTTATTATGTGCCAGGTGTTATGCTAAGCACTGGAAGTACAAATACAAGAAAAAAAATAGTCCCTGCCCTCAAGCAGCTTACATTCTAATGAGGAAAGAGAATAAATACATAAAAGGAAGCTGAAAAGAGGGGGAAGACATGAAAAGGAATAAAATAGAAAAGTATTCAGGAAAGTCTGGAGGCTTTAATATAAATGCTCTGTCTATTTTTCTGTAACTGGGCTTTGTGCGTGTCTAGATCACCTAAGGTGGAGGCGCTCGTGTGGCAGACAGCAGGATTCTGCGTCTGGACAAAGACATTCTGCTTTTCGCCTGCCATGTGGGTGGGAGCAGCCTCTTTTCGTCGGCTGCAGAACTGGAACTGGCTAGGTCTTTCAAAATCCCAGCCTGGGACAATTTTTCTCTCTCAATATCCAAAGGTGAAGGCTCTGTTCAACCATAGCATGCACACCATGTGCTAAGTTGGGTGTTGGGGGAAGGTCTATTTCCCCTCCTCCACCACCACCACCACCCGCTTTCAGGCCCTGTGGTCCCAAGAATCAGACTTGGGGTTTTTGGTCTGTTTTGTTTCTCTCTTTTTAGTTCTGGACCTAAGCAGCAGACCTGGGAGATTGAGCCATGGTGATGTTGGGGCCAGAATTTCCAAGCTGGATGATGCTGCCAGCCCAGTAGAGAAGCTCTGAGAAACCAGGATGCTGATACCCAAGCCCAAGGCGGATTTGGACTTTGAACTTGGTGAGACTATACTAAGTAGGGAATGAGTTAAGCTGTGATCATAATCTACTCCTATTTGGGGAGATTTAGGTGGTTTAAAGGAAGGATTATCCCCCCCAGGTATTTAGGTAGTGGGAATAAAAAATGTGTATGTTTGTTCTTGTTATATCTTTTTTTTTTCTTTTTGGTGTCTTCCTATATCTTTGAAGTAAATATTTCTTGGTAAAAGCTAATCTAACTGTTAAATGGTTAAGTGGAACTAGGGTGTGGGTTCTCCCTAAAATTGAGGGAACACAATCAGAGGGGGCTTGACCCAATGGCAGAAATTAGATACTCCCAACCTCTCTTAAGGGTACCAGAAAAGGGGTGGGGGAATGTAATTTGGCTCCTAGGTAGCAGGCACCACAGTAGTCACTGTTATGTCTATCTCTCCTTCCTGTTTATTCACCCATTCTTCCATTCATCCACCCGTTCATCTATCTGCCCATCCATCCATCTAGCTAGCTATCTCTATGAAGTGAAAATGGCTACCTTAAGATTGAAGCATATGAGGTACAAAGACAAGAGAGAGAGAAAGAGTCCTTTCCCTCAAAGAGCTTATATTCTCCCAGCTGGAAAAGCATTTATACAGATAAATATTTTATATATAGATAGTTACTTACATGTTATCTCTTTCATTAGAATCTGAGCGCCTTCAAGGTAGAAGCACTGTTGTTGCCTTTCTCTGTATCCCCATCTTAGCCTAGTACCCGACACATAGTAAGTGCTTAATAAAGACTTACTGATTGATGATATATACAAATACATGCAAATATTTAAATATGAATATGTACGTATAAATTAATGCAAAATAAATACAAACTAATTTAGGAGGAGAGAACTAAGTGGGGGGGGGGATCAGGAAAGGCCTTTTATTAGAAGGGAAATTGGAGGTGAGCCTTGGAGGAAACTTAGAGATTCCAAGAAATAGAGATAGAAGAGAGAGAGAGAGAACATTGTGGGCATGAAGACAGCCTATACAAAGACATGGAGATGGAATATCACAAATTGGAAATGGAAATTACGTCAGTTTTTCTGAAACATAGTGTGTTAGGGGGAGTAATGTGAAATCATGTCTCTAGCTGAGAAGAGAGAAATAAAGCATGAAGGAAAAAGAAAAAGGAGTATGACAAGTTGTTGATGTACATTACCCCCTTCTACTTCTCTCTCTCTTAGAGTCAAATACTCAAATGGATCTGTAATGTTATTGAATGATTGTTCCCTCCAATGATGCAAACCTCAGCTCCTTCCCTACCTGACCACCCTATGGAGCTTTTGTCCTCTTTATCTCGTAAGGCCATTGCTGAGGACCTCCCTAGCTTCCTCTTGATATCCATCATGAGGATGTGTCGGGCTATCTTCCTGACATAATTCATTCTTGCCCTGTGAACAGTCCATTGTCTTTCCCAGACATAGCGGGGACAGGTTCAATCATGTCTCTTTCCTACTCAATAACCCCAGTGGCTCTCTACTGCCTCCAAGACCAAATACAAAATCCTCTGTTTGGTGTTCAAAGACCTTCAAATTTAATTAGATTTGACAATAAGATAGAGTTGGCTAGGGAGAGTGGAGCCAAATTTTGGAAAGACTTGAATGTCAATATGTTCCCATAATTCAGTATATTTGTGGTCTCACAGTGTGGGTATTCCATCCAACAATGCAGATCACAACCCATCCAAGCCCATCCAAGACTTCTAGCCCTACAGTAAGGGAGATGTGAGTTATCTGGGCCACATTTGTTTCCTACATCTAGACATATGGACACATCTCCTGTCCCTCCTTCACAGAAGTCAGGTTTCATATGTATGAAACATTAAATTTAATGTCAGGGTTTTGTTTTGTTTTGTTCAATGTATTGATAGGCTTTGCTGGATTTTTCTTTTTTTTTTCTTTTCTTTTTAAAAAATTTATTATTGGGGCAGCTGGTTGGCTCAGTGGATAGAGCACCAGCCATGAATTCGGGAGGACCTGAGTTCAAATCCAGCCTCAGACACATAATACTTACTAGCTGTGTGACCCTGGGAGAATCACTCAATTAGTGGGGTCCCCCCCACCCAAAAAAATTATTATGACAGAGGGTTTACTAGGAGGGGCAAGGAAGGGGTACAAGGGGAAATGTAAGAAACATAAAAACAAAAGATATTGACAAGGTATCATTGATTACTGCAAGGTTTATGCAGCATGGTCTTGTAGCAGCATTGGGTTTTGAGTTAGGAAGGTCATGGTTTGAATTCCAGGTCCTCTTATTACTTGTATACCGTCAAGCAATAATTTCTCTCCATCCGTAAAATGGGGGTGGAGATTAGAGCTAATCCTGAAGTCCCTTTCATCTCTAAATCTATGATTCTAAGATTCTACATCCTATATATGTGAGCTCAGACAAGCCGATCTTTCTGGGCTTCAGTTTCTTCTTATAAAATGAGAAGATAAAACTAGACTGAGGTGTCAAACTCAGATAGAAACAGGGGGCACTAAACCTTAAGAAGGATGGCTGTAAATGCATATTGATTTAGAAAAACATATGTTAACATTATCTATGTTTTATTGTATTCTTATTTATTGTGCTAAATATTTCCCAATTACATTTTAATCTGGTCTTGGAGGCACTGGGGGTATTGTGGGCCCCCTACGTCCCTAGGCCAAGTGTTTGACACCTCTGATCTAGATGACACCCAAAGGCCCTTTCAGCTCTCAGTCCTTTGATCCTTTGATTTTCTTAATTTTTTATGCAATTTAAATTGCTATGTGGGTGCTATTGTACCCCCACAACCACTGGCTATTTCAACTTGGAGGTGTTTCAGCTTCAATGTAACTAAATTTTATTTGTATATTTGAAGACAGCCTTTGTGCCAAGTGGTCATAAAATTCTCTGGGAAATTTATTGGATGATATAAATACTGTGAAAAATGACTTTATGGAATAATTAGTATATGCCTCTGGCCTCTGACTTCTCCCCCTTTTGTTTTTCCTATATTTATCCTCATTATTCCTCTCTATTTCCCTGCCAACATAACTCTTTTTATAATTGTTTTTATTTATTTCATTAAATATTTCCTGATTACATGTAAAAAATTTTAAACAAATTTAAACAAAATTTTAAAAATCTTGAGTTCCAAATTTTCTTTTTTCCTGCTGTCCCTCCTTCCTCCTTGAGAAGGCAAGCAATTTGATATGGATTATACATGTGAAACCATGCAAAACATATTTCCATATTAGCCATATTGCAAAGGAAATTAAATTAAATTAATTAACAAATAGAAATAAAATAAAATAAAGTAAAAACAAAATAAAGTAAGAAAAAATACATTTCAATCTTCA